TCGTCTTGAAACGAATTTACGTGAACTTCGAAAGGCTGCTGGAGGATCAGCAGAGGAATCTGAGCAATTAGGCTCTACAATTGGGCTCGAGCAGAGATCATCGAGACGACGTGCTAAACGTCAAGTGATCTTATCACCGATAGTGCTAGCATCGTTCATAAACGATCCAGCCGGAGCATCACAACCGATCATACTCTCTCCGGTTGTACTCACTGCCTTCGTCAATTCACCTTCAATTTTTGGTACTTTTATACTCAGTCCTACCATATTCACTGCAATCATCACATCACCGAAAATATTCGCTCCATTAATTCTTTCGCCCATATTGGCCGTTCCCGTCATTCTCTCTCCTCTTGCGTTCACTCCGTACATTCTATCACCAGGTGCGCTCAATCCCGCTGTTCTTTCACCTTTAATATTCGATCCGTTCATTCTCAGTCCGCAAGCCTTATCGCCGATTGTTCTGTCTCCATTAGCCTTCTCGCCGTTTATATTCAATCCCAACTTTATGTCTCCAATAGTTCTAAGTCCGTTTATATTCACACCATCAGTGTTTTCACCGGCTTACGTGACCGCAATTGTTCTATCGCCCTATGCTTTCTCACCGTTGATCAACTCTACTGGTAAATACGTAAGTATTGTTTTATCACCAAGTGCATTCAGTTGAACAAAACCTCAGAACGAGAACTAAACAACTGTATGCGTGACGTTATCGTTGTGAATGAATAGCATTGTTTAGTTTATTTGGAATGCATCTGTAAGTCACCAAATGCATCCATGATCCATTGTATTTGAGAATTATTTTGTTGAATTTTAAATTGCTTGTTGGCTCAAATGTTCATCTGATGGCATAGTGGATCGGTGTTATTTTACGAGTGATTCGAGCGCGTTGAATCACGGATGATCTCGAGGATTCGTTTATGCAGCCAAACGCAAAACATGAATTCATTGCACCATGAATTCAGTCAAACATTTCATCTACCCAATAAATCTATGTGTAGATGACAATACCCGTGAAGGTCCACTTCACCACATGCAATTGTTGATGTAATAATAATAATAATAATAATAATAATAATAATAATAATAATAATAATAATAATAATAA